CCCTTGACCCACCTGCACCATCCCTGCCACTACCAATACCCCAAGTCCGGGCGATTCTCCCAACCCCACTCCTCCTTATGCCCCGGCCCAGGCCCTCCAGCAACTCTCCAGAGCCCTATCCCCGCCCTCCCGGTACCTCCCAGACCCCTAAACAGCACCGCCCCCCGCCTTTCTCACGGGCTCGGTTGTCACGGTAACCGTTGTCTCAGTGACGGTCTCACTCAGCCCGGGCCCCGCCTCGGCCATGGCTCAGGCTGAGGGGAGGAGGGGGAGACACCCTTCCCTTGCTCCGCGTCTCCGGGACCTAAGAAGATCGGTATCGGACTCAGAGTGGCAGCCAGGACCCTCCACCTCTTTTCCCCTCCTCCTGGGCCTCCGCTTCCCCACCCCTGGGGACAACCTGTGCAGCCCCACTTCCGGCCCCCGGCTTCCGGGTGTGACGCCGCCGGTGGTCCCGCCCGGCACCAGCCTCCATCCCTGGGTGGGAGGGCGGGCGGGGAACTAAGGAGCAAAGGTAACGGCCCATTCTGTTTCCTTATTGTTTGGTGTGGGAATTACAGAAAGGGGACCTAGGAGCAGTGGGAACACGTAAGAATCCGGGTTCCCGCGCTGGCCGGTATACTCAGTGGTTCCATTCCCATACCTGCGTAGCAGGGTGGTCCCGCCAGTCTCGGGGCATGCGGGAGGCAGCCAGTAGATGTGTCTCTCACATGGATGTTCCTTTCTCTCTCCCCCTCCTTCCGCGCCCTTCCACTCTCTAAAAATCAATGGAAAAAATAGGGTGTGTTTCACAGACATGAGCAGAACAAGGATGATGGACCAGGTACAGAAACTCGCCACAGCACAAAGCCCCAGATGCAAGGGGCAAAACTGGGAACACAGAACCTTGTCCCCAGGGCAACCTCCCTCCCTAGCACCTGTACCAAGTGCACACTGGTCTCCCTCACTGGTCATGCTGTTTGGACCCTGACCTTTTCCTCCCTAAAGATAACATCAGTTGTATTTCAGCTCCAGGCCCAGAAAAGCAGCAAAACCAGACAAGTGACAAGTGGCTGCCTCAGGACCAGCTGCAGTGACTGATGACCCCTTGCCCTGGCGCTGACCAGTCAGTGGAGATCATGGCCCTGAAAAAGCTCCCCTGGAAAGCTGATGGATATTCTATTGAGACCCTCTCCTGAGAGCTCCCCTAAGATTCCCACCTGCAAGATAGAAGTACAGGAGGATGAAGGGCCCATCCCATTGAGAACTCTCCTCCCTGGAGCATGCCAGGGCCTTTCCCTTGCCCCTACTTCCCGCTAAGGCAGTGGTTCTCAACCTCCCTAATGCTGAGACCCTTTAATACAGTTCCTCATGTTGTGGTGACCCCCAACCATAAAATTATTTTTGTTGCTACTTCATAACTAATTTTGCTACTGTTATGAATCGTCATGTAAATATCTGATATGCAGGATGTATTTTCATTGTTACAAATTGAACATAATTAAAGCATAGTGATTAATCACAAAAACAATATGTAATTATATGTTTTCCGATGGTCTTAGGTGACGCCTGTGAAAGGGTTGTTCGACCCCCAAAGGGGTCACGACCCACAGGTTGAGAGCTGCTGCTCTAAGGGACCGTGAGACTTGCAACCCGGGGAGCAATGGGGAGCATAGCTTGTCCCAGGCTCACTCCCTGAACCTGTCTCCAAGGCCCCCTTTTCTCTGACTTTTCAGTGACCCAGAACAGCCCCACCTAGGCTCTCCTGTTACTTTTTCTATGCATCTTACTTGTTTCACTGCCCTAAGTATATTTTTGCTGACATCATCAACCCAGTGCTGTGTAGCCCTTCCCTTTTGATAGCCCCATCCCCTTTTCTTTAAATAAATTCAATTTTTCTTGAATTTATTGCAAGGACTTGAGATTGCTATTTGGCCTGCCCATGCACCACCAACTATTTTTTTTTAATTTTTAAAATATATATTTTATTGATTTTTTTTTTACAGAGAGGAAAGGAGAGGGATAGAGTTAGAAACGTCGATGAGAAACATCTATCAGCTGCCTCCTGCACACCTCCTACTGGGGATGTACCCGCAACCAAGGTACATCCCTTTGACTGAAATTGAACCTGGGACCCTTCGGTCTGCAGGCTGACGCCCTATCCACTGAGCCAAACCGGTTAGGGCGCACCACCAACTTTAACCGTTCAGTGAGGATTAACAAAAAAGAAACAAAAAGAACCTGGGTTCTAGGGCCTGTCCTTTGCCGATAAGTGTCCAGGCAGGGCATGCATGCACGTTCGGCTGGGACACTTTCTCTGTGATTGCACTAGGCCTTGGAGATGGAGGTGCATGAAGCACTGTGATCCTGCCTTTTAGCTCCCAGACTAGTGGGAGAGATTGGCATGCTCGGCAATAACAAAAATAGAAGACATTGGGATATTAATGCATATGCAAATCCCATCTGTGAAGAATTTAGCTGTATACAGCTAACATTTTCTCTGGAGAACAATTCATGCTATGATAAAAATATGTGCTTAGGGAGCAAGAGTGGTGAAAAGGGAACACAAGGCAGACAAAGGGATGTGTGGGGATTTTTTTAGGTGCAAAGAGCAGCTTATAGAGACATAGATGTGTACTGAAGGACATGCAGTTGGGATGTACAAAGGTGGGATGTAAGGGGAGTGCCAACGAGGCTTGACAGGTAGGCTGTTATACGGGAGGCCTGTATGCTTTGCTAAGAAACTTGGACTTTATCCAGTCAGTATGGGTCAAGGAAAGGCTTAATGTAGGGTAGAAACGTGAACAGATTTCAGATTTCAGGAGGCAAGGAAGTCAACTGCCAGAACAGTTCAAACGTACAATGCAGAAGACTGCCCTGCCCATCCCTCAAAGTTGCCGAGGGGGTCAAACAAGATAACGGTATGTTTGAGAGCCCTGAATATACAAAAGGTCACACAATTACAAGATAACACTATTACTTTCACCCCTTGATCACCATTTAAGCCAAAGAACCAAGGAATGCAGGAATACTGATTCTCAGACTACAATTTGAATGTTTATTGCGCCTAGACTGTGTATTTTTTTCCCCTTTGAAGTTTATGGTCCAATCTGAAAAAAGCAAGGTACAACTCAGTATGTACAGCATAACCCAATAAGAAAACAAGTATCTCTGTGGATTAGGATTCCTTGTCGTCTTTACTTTTTTCTATCTATCAACCTATTACAATATATATTACATTTATCTCAAGAACAATAAAAAAACAATTCCCAAAATGTTCACCTGTAGTAAGTGCACACTGGTATCCCTTAGTATCAGATTGTTGTGCAAACTTAGATAGCAAATAGATCTTGTTAAATTTTCTGTTGACTCTCTCACTATCCAAACCCCACTTTTTGTTTCCCTAAACTCGGGAACCAAATAGATTTAGGTAGTGAGAAAATACTTATAATTGCTTTTTTTATATTAGCCTCATTGCTGGCTTCAATTTTTTGGCTTTTTCTTTTTCTTATTTACTAATGTATACTCTTTTTATAGATGATATATTTGTTAAAAGAACAAACATATCTCTATGAACTCATTTGAATTTCACTTGGAACAAAACAGATTATAGATAACACACACATATTTGGGTCTTATTGAAAAACATAGCTTTAATAGGAAAACTCAACTAGGAATAGGAGCAACCTGGGGACAACAGTGCTCCCCACCTGGTGATGTGCCTCTCAGGGAGCAAAACTGCAACCAGGGGATGGACAAGGATCTAGGAACCAATATCCTTCACCTCCCAAGGAAGAGGAGGGGGGAGGGATTGTTGAGTCGCCCAGGAAAAAAAAGGAAAATCAAGAGTCTTCCTTCTCCTGGAACCTATGGAGAAAGAAAGGATTTCTTTGTTATATTGGATTGAAGGAAGAGGTTCTAGCAGTGTAAGATGACATACTCAAATAATCAAGGAAGGACTTTTATTTATGAAACTGTGGAAAGCTAGCTCCCATAAATGGTCCTTTAACTTCAAGCCAACTAAAAATGCTGGGATTGAAAATACATTGAAAGAATTATGACCAAAAAGTATGCAGATATTTCTTAGAATGCGAAAAGCACTAGCCATGAAAGAAAAAAAAAGGATAAACTGGACCTCATAAAAATTTAAAACTTCTGTTCATTTAAAAAAAAGTTAAGAAAATAAATAGATAAGACTGGGGGAAATACTCTCAAAAGATATATCTAACAATCAATATTTTTAATCCATTGATGAGATGGCAAGAAAGTAAACGGAATTCATATTGGGTAAATGATGTAAAACCAGGAAACTAAACAGGTAAGTGAAAGCTGAAACCCCTGCTACCATGGTCCTCTTGCTGTTTTGACGGCCATATGAAGGAATCTTAGACAGAACTACAATGTATGATTGGAGGTACTGGGCATACATTTGGGAGCCCCAGGGGGCTACCCCTCTGTGTAAAAGTAAACAAAATCTAACTCTGCAGAAGGAGAATTTGTGTCACTAGGTAGAGGAAGGAAAATCTCTGAGGTTTTCTAACCATAGCTGGCCCTTGCATGGACTTGCAGTCCCAATTCATACTACCTCTATAGTTGAGAACAACCTGGAACCAAGTTTAAAGTGATTCTGGCTTGTGCCTCAAGGGACCTGAACAGGAAACACAAATGCTGAGGATACAGCATTCATCCCATGCTTCAAAGAATTCCCATAGTTCAAATTCTAAAAAACTGAATTTTATAAAACAAAGAAAATTATATCAAAAATAATAGCTGAAATAAACTGAAGACAGAATTAGTGACCTAGGAGAAACCTGAAGAAATTACCCAGAAGCAGTATAGAGAGAAAGAGATAGAAAGTATGAAAAACAAGGGTGAGAGAAATGAAGGATAGACAGTCTAATAAGCAACTAATTAATTAGAGTTCCAGCATGTGAGAACATAGGGAAAAGCAATATTCAATAAGATAATGGCTGATACTTTTACAAGGTTGATGGGGAAAAGAGAAAAATCAATCCTCAATGTTGAAAAGTTCAACAAATCCCAAACAAGATTTTTAAAAGCCACATTTTGCAACACTGCAGTATGACTGCGGAGCGCCAGAGACAAGAGGAGCTCTTAAAGCCACCAGCGAGCCTGCTCTTTAACTCACGCACCATCTCAGGAAAGCAGAACTGCCTTGGTGCAGTGGGAGACGCCAACATCACTGCTGACCATTGAGCATGCTTGCCTTCTGTATTTTTCATTTCCTCTTAAATATGTTAAAAGGTTTAGTTCATTGGCATTAAAAGGATAAGAAAAGCCCTAATCGGTTTGGCTCACTGGATAGAGCCGCGGCCCGCAGACTGAAGGGTCCCAGGTTCAATTCCAGTCAAGGGCATGTATCTTGGTTGCGGGCACATCCCCAGTAGGGGGTATGCAGGAGGCAGCTGATGGATGTTTCTAACTGTCTATACCTCTCCTTTCCTCTCTGTAAAAAATCAATATAAAAATATATTTTTTTGAAGTGTAATTTTTAAAAATAAAACGACCACAAATCTTCCTACTACCAGAACTGTACAAAAAATGGATGGGACCAAAAGAAGTAATTGTTTATTGAGGACAAAAAGTAAACCTGTGGAGCTGCTTAGTTAGCAAACAGCCTGAGAACGGGCAGCGGTCAGGCGGGGCTACGCACTTGCAGCGGGTGCAGGTGTAGAAGACGGTCTGGCCCTCGTCGGCGGAGCGCATCTGCCGGGTGCGGTAAGCCATCCCCTCGTGACCGCAGCGGGCGCAGCGCCTGTCCACCTGGAAGCCACAGCGGGTGAGGGGCCTCGCAGCCCCCACGGCTCCCCCTGGGCACTGCTGCTCCCCAGGCCCCTCTTTTGTGTGGGGATCGGGCACAAAACTCTCCAGCTCGTAGCAATCGCCCTCCGTGTCAGTCGTGCCCGCCCTGCGGGGCCCGTCCTTGACGTCATCCACTCACCACGGGCCCCTGGAGCTCGGGGCTGGCCTCCATCGACACGGGTGTGGCTGTGCCCAGCTTGTGGAACACGACTGCGGTCCTCACCACCTTCCCCTCCAAGTCTGCGCAGAGGGAGCACGGGTCGGGCCGACGCGCGGGGAGCCCTCCCGGGGAACCTGGCGGCCCGCCTCCCTTCCCCTCAGGTTGCGCCCTGAGACCACGTCTCGTGCCTGACCTCCTGCCTCCGACCCCTGCCCGCCGGGGCCTCTGCCGGGACCCTGCCTAGGAGCCCTCACCTCGCACGTGGATGGAGAAGCCGCAGCGGGTACAGGTGACTGCATCCTGGGTGCCTGGCAGAGGCAGGACTGAGCCGCAATCCGGACAGAAATCCAGATCCGACTGGAAGCTGGAGCCGTTGCCGGCGAGGTCCATGATGGAGGTGGGCGAAGGCTGCGAAGGGAGGAGAAGGTTATGAACAAAAGACAGAGAGCGCTCTTCCCCACGCAGGGGCCATTCTCATGCTGTGCCTGGATCTCCGCCGACGGAACCCGAGCCCCCTCCCACGCGTGT